GTAGGTGTGCTACAAAATGTTCCCCAAACAAAACAGCACTAAACAGTAACACATGTAGACATTTTAAAATAGAGATAAACCGCAAGGAGGATTTCTATCGCTGCTTTATTTTTCTCCCCATCTTCTTCCTGCTGCTGCACTTGGCAGGACAGGATAGAAGGCAGGAGCAAAATTCAAACAGCATTCTTTATGACAATTAGTTTCTAGAGAAACGGGAAAACTGGAAAGTAGATTGTTGCCCCAACGTACTGTGAGTCACTGATGGGATGAGAACAGAGGAGAAGTTTGGTGGTGTGGCAGACAACTGAAAGCACGCCTACCTATCTTGAATCTGGCCGTTGTTGGAGAGGCCTCTGTGTTTCCCTCGTACAGTGGGATAATAGTAACAATGTACTCAGTATCTGGCTGGACCCTGGACAACGTGTAGAAGTTGATGTCACCACCGACCTCCACGGTCTCTACATCACGACCTAAGTGAACAAAAAACAAAGACAAAGATGTAAAGATATGTGACGCAGTAAATAAATGCTGTTAAAAAAACAATGATGTCTGATGTGTCCTTCGACCTGTAAACGGTCCCCAGACCAGACGGTAGGCCCTCGCACCGCTGACACCTCGCCATCGCACACGAACACTGCCCTCTGACTCCGTCTCCACTGATAACTGCTGCACAACCTCAAGGCTCACTAGCACAAAAACATAAACAGAGAGACGTGAAGATAATGTTAAATAATGTTAAATAAATACTGAAGGTCAACACAAGGAGACAGTATCACTTAGATCAGGCACTATAATTTATCATTTCTGTGTATTTGTGGCAAACTGTACCACTTATTGTGTTTTACCTGCTGACTATGGTCGCTCACATTACAGGAACATTATATAGCAGCGGCAAAAGGATTAACAGCAGGCGAGAGGACGAACTCACGTGTGCGGGCGTTGAGGACAGACGGGGATGCAGAGTTTCGTGGGAACAAGGGGTAGAGGCTGATGACGTACTCTGTGTCGGGCTGAAGTGACTCCAAGGTGACAGATGTGGAGCCTGCAGACAGTGTCTGCTCCAACAGCTGAGCTGCCGGCTGACCTACACAGAGAAGAGCAATTAACTAATAAATGCCCTAAGAGCAATCGCAAATTATACTGTGCGCTATGTTCGAACATTCAGACAGAATGTTTTTGCCTTTAGGGCCTCGCCTGTGCTTGATTAGTCTCGAGCATACTGAGAAAGGCCGTGTGCCTGTGCAGAATGTAGGTGTCTATCTTTGCCTGGTTTCACTGTATTATAAATGTCAAACGGTGCACTGTGAATAGGTAAGAACATCACTCCATGCTGCGCATGCTCACTACAATGCACCCATTGACGTGGCAGTGTAAGATTGACAGGGTGGCTTAGCGTGGCATTCTTCAGAAGAACTGATACTGGCACAGCATGTGGTGAGAGAAAAAGCTTATATGAGCCCTCGGGGCCCACTTTCCTCTCCTGAATCACAGCCTAAGCACCCACCCAGACCTCCTGACACACCCGGGTGCTATAAATGTGAAGACAAAATGACTCACAGTCCATGACATAAGCAAAAGTTTTCTCAGTCTGCCGAGCTTCATGATCAGCGATGATAAAATGTATTTGATATTTTAGGTAATTATAAGGTTATAAACATCTCAGCTGACAGCCAGTGCCTGAGGGAAGTTAGATGTTACCGAAGCTAATGTTGATCACACTGAACCCATACTGCTACACACCCTTTGCATGGCCCCTGGATGCCATAAAAAGTAACAGTTATTGACTAGTGTTGACTTCTTTTCCTTTTTTTTCATAATTCTGCCAAGGTTAGCATCGTGGCAGGGCTATTCTGACATTATAGGATAAGAACGGATTACCAAAACAGGCAGGAAACAGAACAAATACGTGTGTGCCTGACCTTGTGGTCCGTAGGTGATTCTGTAGCCCTGGACAGGAGTTGAAGGTTGATTCCAGCCCAGAGTGAGAGAAAAGAAACCTGCTTGCACCAAGCGCAGACTGGAGACACCTGGCAATGACCCTATGTGAAGAGAAAATGGGCTATTTCATATTGCAAATGGACCGATACTTATCTAGCGCTTGTCTACTTAATCTGAGAACTCAAAGCATTTTCTTATTACAAACCTAATTCATGTATTGACACTCACATTGATAAAAGTGCTTTTTCCGATTCTTAGCCACTCTTAAACCAACATTCAAATGCTCACACTTTGATTAATGGATGAATCAGAGACAACTGGGGTTCGGTAACTTGCCCAAGGATACTTTGACATTCATAAGTGTTTTGTAAGTCTCTTGTGTCTCTGTTGAGTCGTTCACTTTGTACTCACTGGTCCGTTGCTTGGCAGAAACAGAGTCTCCCACACTGTTGGGGTACTGGGCGATGACAGTCACCAGGTAGTCTGTTCCTGACCTTAAACCTCGTGCAGTGTAGGTCCTCTGATTGGCAGTGACACTATCCTGCAGGTTGGGACAGGGGTGATCTTTGTAAACTGAGACTCCTAAAACACGTGTATGACTGAAAAATAAATCATCACCATCATGCCAAGGTACACAGAAGTGAATGCAATGCTTTGCTCGGCCACACTTTAATTTTTCCTTTTCCTTGAAGAAGATCCACCCATTAGACATGTTTATACTCAGCCTGAACACACATGCTTCTCGAGCAAAGCAGGATTTCGTCTGGCTCGTAAAACTGCAATTAACTGTTTCAGTGTAGGTCACATAAATGCACCTTTGCTCATTCTCTAAAATCTTTCAACACCTGAGGTCACGTTACCTCGACATCAGTGGAAGAAGTCATGGGGTGAAAGAAACGTGCGAAGGAGACTTAGAAGACTCGTTTGGCAGGTGACAGCCATATAAAAACAACAAAGTTCAAAGATGAACCACAAAATGCACATTTTAAAGAAAAAGAAATATATTATATACTATTAAATGACATAAATCTTCTTTTATTATTTTTTTCCTGCTGAAGAAAAGATCCTGTATAACTCATTTCTTCCTTTGTTTAATAAATCTTTTTGGGACCAGCATAAAATTTAATCCATCAGTCACATCCAATTCAGTGTCAGCTAACCTGATTAAAAAACTAATGATACAATAGAGCTGTAGATGTACAGTAACTAATGCAAATCAATTTATAGTGAATCTTAAACATACTATGATATAAGTAATACACTTTATAATTGTTTAAGCTGTGTTTTACAAAATTCTAAACACATCAGTAGTTTACGGCAATAAATGAAAAATTAACTTAGAATGTAACGTTTATGTAATCTGCTCCACTTGTCAATCATGTTGATAATTTCTTGTGAATCATCAGGTGGTGTGTAAAGGTGTATCCTATACTAAAGGAAATAATAAAGGAAGCACTGAAGCACTTCAATCTGATTATTTGGTCGCACCCCTGAACTCACCTGACGCATTTCTGCTATGACTGGTTGACCCAGACCAGTGAGTGGCACGTGCTGGATCACATAGGCACTCACAGGGCCCCCTGCAGGACTCCATCGGAACCTGAGAGAGTCAGACGTCTGGCCTGTGAACTGCAGGTTGGATGGACCAACAAACGCCTCTAAGAAGAGAGGAGACACGGTTAAAATCACATGTAGTTTTACAATAATTGTGACAGTTTAATTTCTTTGAATTCTAATGTTAAATATACCGTCGCTAGCATAATCGCCTCCTGCTTTCGTGCAAACTTGAGAGTTCACAAGAGGAAGCAGCGTGTTCAGCAGTTTGAAGTCCCCAACAAAGAAGGTAAAATCACTGCTGGGTTGGGACGAGATCTGAGCCAGTTCATTCCTGTCTGCGCTCTTTATGCCTGTTAAAAACAAAATAGTTGTCAAAGAAAACAAAGCACTTCACCTGAAGCTCTGGTATAATTCCAGATTATTCAGAATAACTGAGGAAATACTGCAGATAAAACACACACCAACTGCAAAAACATGAACTCCCTGACTGCGCAGCTTCTGTGCTGGCTCGTTCACATTGTCCTGTGACTTCCCATCTGTGATTAGGATCATGATCTGAAAATTAAAGAGGGTCCATAGATAAAATTAGCTAGAACTGCTACATTGAATAGATAATAATTTATCAATCATAATGGTATAGCTACTTCTTAGACCTTTGGAACATCCCGAACAGAGGCGGGGTTGAAGAAGTTATCAGAGGCAAACTTAAGGCCGTCACCAGTGCGTGTGTTTCCACCTTTATAGTTTATATTTTGGACAGCGTTGACAAGCTCAGTGCCATTCAGGTAGGCAGTCAACGTGAACTCGACTCTGATGATGGAAAAATGTGCATTAATATACAATTGTGCACCTGCCATGTGTTTTTTAGTTGTTTTGTTTTTAATTACTCTCAGTCACCTTGAGGTGTCACTGTACTGTGCAACGCCGAACCGAATCCCTGACTCGCCCACGGAGCTGGCGAATGGCTTTACAATTCCAGCCATAAAACCCTTAACCTGCAGGAAATTAGGTCGGCCAATACTGGAAGAGCCATCAACCAGGAAAACTATATCTGCAGCTTGTACATTATCACACCTGTCTGATGGACATAAAGGACAAGAATTAGAAACAGCAACGTAAAACATTATGTCTGTCAGGGAAGATGTGACAGTAAGGTAAAGTGAAGTTAATTCAAACAAAAGGCATTTTACCCTGAGCTTCAGCATGTTTCACAGAGCACAGCAGGACAGTTACAGTGAAAACCCAACTCCACATCTTCACAACCTGGGACACACAAAGAACAGGTAATATTATTATTAATATCATCTCTAAAAACAGTCTGAACAAATTACAAACTGTATATAGATATTTTAATATCATCTTCATTTCTGTTAACCACTATCTATTAATAGTAAACATCAACACTGAAAATCCAGTCTCTGCTGACTGCCACTTTCTTCTTGTTCAGCTGGATTTCATTAGTCATTTGTTCCATAGCATAATTTGTGGGTAGTTCAATCCAGTAATTTGTCTGCATTTTCTTAGGATTCTAGTCATTGTTCCTGCCTATACCTGTTCTGACCTACCTGACAGCCTTTTTTTCTTGTCAGCCTCATTACTTTGAACATGTTTTCCTGTAACACAAACACGTGAGGTCTCTTTTCTTATACCAGTCTGTCCTGCAGTCCAGGTTTTGCACTGCACCAAGAAGCTCTCACGCCTGGTGAGAAAGTGTCCAAATACCTACCACCCCATATTACCTCATGGACTATTAATGTTATTCATCATCACTGAAGAGACCACTACACGAACACATTACGTGAACAAGAAGCCCTGAAAGAAAGCATTGTGCATGCACTTAGAAATTAGTAACCTTGTATATATGACTGAGTGTTGTTTTAAATATTATAGTGAATGATGACTTCAGAGAAAACCCCCCAAAAAACCTGTAAATCTGAAGAAGAAAAAAAGTAAATACTATATATAGCTCCGTTAACTAATACCAACCCTTAAACAACAAGATTTAAATGGTATATTTTTAATTTTTTTTTACTTGTCATATTCTTGCATGTCTCTCACTAGGTATGGACTCCAAAAAGCAACAGGCTGATCTGTATGAGTCCACCTCTTGCATTCAGCAGTTTCCAGTAAAACAGCTAACAACCACAAAGGGAGAGAACAGCTAAAGATCAACAACACAGAGTGCCGTATTTCACACCGCCAGCTTTTCTTTATATGTTGGGAAGTGAGTTGATATGACTAAACAGCTTAGGTGGATTGTTTCACTATTACCTGTCTCATGCTAGCTCCACTCCGCATGCAGTTTGTGTGTTTGGTGAGTAGGTGCACTCACAGTGAGAGCAGGCAAAGGAGAAGCAAGTGTTACTTCAAATGACAGCAGCAAACAGTGAGCTGAGCCACCCTGGACAATTTGTAATTTTACTCATACAATAGCAATTCAGTAAATTTATATTCTTATATGTTTTAGTTTGTTGCACTTTATTTATTAAAGTAGGAAAAGCAATGTTTAAGTCAAGCCTGATGTTGCTTTAACATAAAAAGGCATTAAGGTAGCTGCTTAAAAGGTTCAATCTAAGATACAACATGTCAGGTGGAAATTATTAAAATTTAACATATTTTATTATGTGACAATATTGCACAGGCTCCTTTAGTTATTGTTAAAGCGTTAAGCAGTTATTGTTGCAAATTCCTTTTAAATATTGTGATATCATTTTGAGGTTATATCACCGACCCCTACCAGAGGCTATCCATCTTTTACATACACTCTACGGACCTCTGTGCATGTTGATCCTAAAAGAATAAAATGCAACCACCCATCCATTTGCTTCCACTTATCCTTGCTGATGATGGAGCCTCTCCCAGCTGTCATGGGGTAGGAGGCAGGGTATACCCTGGACAGATCACCGATCCACGGCACATTCAAACCCACATTCAATTTAGAATCATGCATGCCTTTGAACTGTAAGATGAAGCGTGGGTTACCAGAGGATACCCATGCAGACACAGCGAAAACATGCACGCTTCATGCAGAAAGACCACAAACTAACTGGAGCGTTTGAACCCAGAACTTTCAAGCTCACAGCAAGAAAGTCTGCATTCATTCTGTGTCAAACAAAACTTCCCGTTCATGTTTCTAATTTACACAAGAGTTTGAATTTTTTTTTTTTAACAGCTGTCCTTCTCATTCTCTTCCCTCCACACACACCCTTCACATAACATGCATATTCAGAGCATACATGCTTCTGTACATGTGATCGTGCATCACACACCTTCCATCTTTGCTCAAAGGATAGTGGTCAGAAAAGACTATTTTTTACAGCGAGCATCAGATCCACTCTTAAACTTCACTAGTGTAACTCATGTTGGAGTTTGGCCATAAAAAAGCTTTAACGTATCTTTTCTCCATATTTCTCTTTGGCCACTGTATGTCTGGAATGCAGATGGCAGATCCTTACAGACAATATGCACCATTCTGGAAAAAAATCCAACAGATCCTTGATTCACTTGTAGACTGTCTTGCAGCATTACTATTCTCTACAGTGTATCTCACTGTTATCATGTTTTGGTCATAAGAAATTTCCAATATGATTTTGGTGACAGCTTTTTTTAGGTGAAGAAATTCATTCTGGATGTGGGTGTGGAGTTTTCATGAAAACCTTTGATTCATCTTTGACGCAGTCAGGCACAGCATTAAAGTTACTGAAAATAGCTGATAGATGTTGAGCCAAAGACAGAAACATCAGATCTACTCTGTAGGGATATGGTAGCTAAAGTAAACACACAATATAATGAAGGAAACATGAAAAAAAAACATTTAAGTGGATCAAACCAATTACATATGTTGGTGGCAGGACAGCATCAGACTGGAGTGATTTTCTGAGCCTGAATGTAAAGAACAGTAACATCGTCTGACATTTGGAGACTTTTATAGCTTGGCATTTTGTTGCAACACTGACCAAAACCAGACTGACTATCAACGAGCTTTGATCAGAGCAAACCCACATGAAAGACACATGCTGCCAGACTTGATAAGACTCACAATAAACAGAAAACTTTTGCAGTACTTTGAGTATCAAAGTTACTTCTTATTTTAACCCTTACCATAAATAGAATGTGTTACCTTTTAAATTCATTAGGATACAACTATTTTCTAACAATTGGAATTTAAATTAGTCTTAGCCTTGATCTGTCAGAAGCAAGCAGTAACCTCCTAAACCGAAAAATAATAAAGGCTACAGCTTCTTGACTAGCTCCAAAAGACACATAATCAACAGAGAGTGCTATTTTAAAAAGCCCCAAAAAACAGCATTGAAACCCATGTTTAAAAGGTCTACGCATAATTATCCCCTTAGAAAGTGGCTTAAATTTATCGGTGTGGCTGCTTTGATTGATTGGTGGTTCATCCAAATATGGTCACTGGCTGTGAACACAATTAACATTAGAGGCAGCCAAAGCTTCATTAAAGTTGAAGCTTCAATTTTTGCTTTGCTTTTCAGTTTTTATCATGTTGTTTGTTTAGGTAAGTTTATTTATTTATTTATGTTTTGGTATGCAAGTTTTTCAAGATCTGGAATATTAATTTGTCTATGTCTGCCTTACTTAGAAAGTACTAGGGGTAAACTGCTGTTTTAAATGCACTGCATAATTAAAAGTGACTTGACCATTGAGTCGACAAACAATGGGTGACACCACGGTGTCCACCTTTAATTTACACTCTGTGGTCTGATGGTCACAAACTGCCGTTTTGATTTATGACAGAATGTAAACCAGTCATATGATTGGTTAAATAACATACATGTATTCTTACTAAATGCAGTTTAAGATCTTGTAGCCGCACCTGAGGTAAGATGTTATATTGAGCTAGCTGGTAAAATTCCACATTGAAAGAAAGCTTTTATTATCATCAGATTGCCACACCCAGCTTCACAGCAGAGGCTTGCTCAGACTTCAAATAATCTAGTTACAGTTTATGTAAAGTCCAACAAAGAGTGCATCAACTTTAAGGTTATTCTTTAACATCTATAACCTCGTTTTGATTCAAATGTGCACTTTTCTGGGGACTTCTGGAGGAAAGTTTGCATTTCACGGTTCCTGATGTGCACACATGTTTAACTGCAGCAACTCTGAAACCACAAATCCCTTCTTAATACCTACTAACACCACCTCTAAAGCTCACTGGTAGATTCTGCTGTAATTATCTACTGTAAATACATCAGGACTCGTGCATTTCTACAATAACACTTGACTACTTTCACACATTCTGCACAGATCTGCTAAATACTGTCCAGTGAAATTATTTTAAAAATGAAAAGCGACAAAAAAAATATTCAAGAATCCAAAGTTAGATAAAAACCATTAAGACACACCACACTGAGTTTTCTAATGTTCAAACACTGCTTGAGGCCAGAAGCTCATAATCACTGATAAATGTTTATTTTTGTCCGAAACACATCCCACATCACACACAGGAAGCTTAATATGTTCCAAATGTAACCCCTCTTTCCCTTTTCAAAAATCAAAGCATCTATTTTGAGGCTCTTACACCTACAAATTTAAATTATGTACCGTTAACTCCTACCTTTTATGTTATTTTTTTCACTGTAGGAAATCTATAGAAGTTCTGTTTATTGCTGGTTTTGTAAGCCAAGTTTTGAGACTATAGTCTATATTCCCAGCCTTTTCTGAAGTACAGTGGCTAACTTACCACTTTGTAATGCGATTTAAGATGTCACCAAACACGCCATCTTATGACTAAAAGTTGCACTAAATGTTAAATGGACTACAAACAATGGATTTTTCTTCTTCTTGCTATTCCCACGATACACTCACAAACCCTTTTCTGTTTTCAGGCACAAATCTGTTCACATAAAGTCCTGGTAGAAATACTTCCAAGTAATTACTGCCAATTTACAAGCCAATTGTGGGGTGACCTATTTCTGAATGTTTTTTTGATAGATGTTCATCAAGTCTATATTAACAACGTGTCTAGTCTGGCTTCCACACCTGGAATGTTTAAATTATGAACTGGCTTATGGGCATGACCACACCCATGACTAGCCACTTGGCAAATAAACCAATCAAGAGGGTTAAAGGGTCAAAAGCTCAGAAGCTGACTGCTTCTTCTTCTTCCTAAACACAAGTCCCCCAAGCTGTCAGACTCCTGAACACTCAGTGACAGGACTGACACACACACCAAGTTACTTTTTCCACAATGCTCAGTCTTTTGCACTGTCTTGTTCTATCTGGTGTTACACTGTCTTTGTTTTGTTTTTTTGCAATTTTTGCACATTGCACTTTATATAGTCCTGTGTTGATTGTCTGTTATATATTATATGTGGCACCATGGTCTTGGAGGAACATTGTCTTGTTTCACTGTGTACTGTACATGGTTAGAACGACAATAAAGCAACCTGACTTGACTTGAAGTCATTTTTAAAAAGAAAAAGTAATGTGTGCATAACAGCACAGACAGAGGAAGTAAAAGACATTTAAACCTGTGGAAATTGTTTAATACTCATCCTAAAGCTTCTGTTGGAAGTTCGTACAGGAGCTAGACTATGCTTTCTAAAAGCTACACTTTTAGTAGAGATGCCATTCTCCCAGGGGGGCAGCGGGACACAGGCCACTGTGCTGTGACAGAGAGCAGGATTGTGTAAGAGCCAGCATAACATCAGTCTAGGGTACAGAGAGCGACACAAGTGGACAAGGGGATGGAAGGATCAAACGGGGTGGAAATGTCACAGTAAATTACTCAAAGTCTCGAGCTAAAACGCTCAGGATCTTGTGTACTTTGTACCCAAAGGTTGATCTTGGCAACTAGAGACAAGCGCTGCTCCGAGGCCATTAGGGAATTAAAACAAAGAGGGAGGGCTAATGCAGACTTTTTTGACCCCTGAAGTCAAATATATCGTCTCCCACTTCCAACAATAATGGTTCCTTTAACCAAACAAAACAAAAACCTTGTAACAGCAACATTTGAATCTTATCCATGACCCCTTGCTGTAACAAGTTTCAAAATAAGCTCCAGTCTTATCCTCCTATTTAAGCATCACACTAGCTTTGTATTACTATTATCAAAAGCCAGACTGACTGCATCTGAGAAATGACAACATTCAATGAGAAGTTATCCGTCTCATTCAAAAGCATTCATGGACTGAGACAAGTCAAATTCACAGGGCTTATAGTTGGTTTAATCCAACATAAACACAGAGAAAGAGAAACCTAAGCACGAGTAAAAATGGGCCATTGTTCATAAAATTGTTAAAGCAACTTTCTTTTCCTAAAACCTGAATAGAAAATGCTGGACAATGCACACATTAAGCACACGCGGTAACCAGCAGCAGCAGGCCTTACTTGGGATGACACACTTGGGATGAGTCCAGAGACATCCACTACCACAGTGGCACGCCAAAAAAGTTAACCAAGCATGGTTGCAGCAATGCAGCAAATTAAAAGGAGAGAGAGCGAGAAAGTGGCAGGGTGCATGTGAGGCTGTGAGGAAGACTCTAATCACTCCTTATAAATATTTTCAGGCATTTTTTTTTCTTTGCTGTTGTCTGAGCCAAACCACAGCAAAGAAAATGATGTCCTCAGAAGTAGTACAGACAGTTGAAACCAATCAAGATACAAAAGGCTGAGGAGGAAACGTAGGAGGGAGATTCTTTCGCAGCATCATGGTGTAATAATGGCCTCTCGCTATAAAAGTTCAGCTGAGGTCAAGATGTTATGAACGTCTAGTTCAACTAATCTAGGAATTTGGGTTCAGAGCAAAATGATGTTCTTTCATTCAAAAGGCAGTGGCGCTTACGATTTATTAAGACTCCTGTGCCTGATTCTCATTATCATACAGAATACAGAAAAGCCGAGCATTTAAAAACACTTGTAATTATGAGAAGGGTGAAAATTAGGTGATGAATGTTCTGGATGTTCTTGTGCCAAGTGAAGCATTTTTTTTCTGATGGCAAAGCGATGGGCTTAAAGGGGCGGTGTACTGGCTACAGTTTGGGTAATTCCCCCATTTGCACAGTTGCGCTTACCAGACTGCAAGGTGTGCAGAGTGAATGCAGTGCACACATGCATAGCATTCTTATATAGACTGTCATTAGTAGTCTTCAGTGTAGAAATGCATGCAAACTGTGCACGAACTGCACCCAAGCACAAGGGCTCCCACAGAACACAGTTTCCACTTATCTTACCTGGGGATCTCTTCTCCTTGCACCCGACTGCAGCCTGCCGCTCCCCACCTTTCCACCTGTGGCATATCCACCAGCCCTGGATCTCCGTGCAGTATTTTGACCACACAGACGAGAATCACAATTCCGGCGTCCAAAATCACAACTTCAAAAAGGTAAAAAGCAATCCAGTGGAGCTCAAACGCCCAGATCCTGTTGCTGCATCCCGGTGGAGGACCGTCAGATGTGAACGCTATTTCTGAATCCCGAGGCAGCGCTGCTCAGCGTGGGCTGAACTCAAGCAGGAGCAGAACAGTCCAGACTTGCTCGGATGCCTGAAGGGGAGTCCTGAGCTCTCCCTTTCTGCTGCCTTTTTTTTAACCTCATTCTCTTTTCCTGTCGTCCCTCCCTGCTGCTGACTGAAAAGCAGCCCATGCAACCGTTTACATGTGAACAGTAATCTCGTTACTTCTACCTGGAAAACTTCTGGTCACATGATTTTTATCCTGCTGTAGACCGACTTGGAAAAAGTTATGTGCACCGGTGGTACTATCACAAAACAAAAACAATAATGACTAGTACTTAATGGAATATTTAGTTTAACTGAAAAATGTGTAACCAATGATCTCAGACTGTACATTAAAACTTCTCAACAAAACAAAAACTGTAATAAAAAACAGCCTTTCTATGCCTGTACTTTGATGTGGTGCTAATGATGCTCAAGGCTAGCTTCTAAACAGCTTCTTAACCAGGGTGCTGCAACTTTATTTCGGGGGTTTGTGGAGTTTGTTTATTATAAAAACAAAGTTAGAAGATTTTAAACGAGGCTTTGCTTAAAAGGAAATTCAGAAGAGTTTCCCAGAAGGCTCCAAAAATAAACATGTAATTATGTCAGGAGTAACATGGATAGGCAAACCCTCACGAAATTTTCTTACAGACACATAGTAATATAACAAATTAGCGATAGCGCAGTAGAAATCATATGTTTATTTTAATTTTCCTATGGGCTTATAAACCTTATTATAACCCTTTCATTCATTTTTAGACTAGAAATGCTTATTTTACTATAAAAATAATTAAGATTTAAAAAAAATAATAAAAATACCTATAGGTCAGAGAAACCTGCGACATAATGAAATTCCCACGATATAAATTTAGAGATAAATCTTGTGACACAAGACAGCAAGTGCAACTAGCTTAACAACTGCCTTGTGTGGAAAAAGCATAAACTGTCAACATCATGCAAATTAAGTACCAGTTTCTAAATTTGAGCAAAATAGGATATGGGGTTTGATACCTCACCTTCTCAATGCAAGACTTTGACTCACTTTAGTCCCCTGCAGCTTGATGGACTTCAGTTTGGTCAGTTTACGAAAGGGGGTAAACCCTCTGCTTTGACAGGATACTTCTTTGGTCATTAGCAAGGAAACAGTATGAGTTAAAACTGCAGAGTCTCTGCTCATCAGTATGCACTGGGATATTGGATCAACATTCCTACTTAACCTCAGTGCAGATGCAAATCACAGAAAAGTATTTTTAATTAGAAATGGAGAGGCAGGATTGCCTCATTATCATTTGAGGTTTTAAAAGCATGCTTATCCAGCCACTGTTTTCATCAGCATTTGTCAACAGCTTATCATTTTTTTTTAAAGTGTTTTCATGTGTGGTTATAGATTATGTGTGACAGGCATAGCTTCTTTGGTAGCAACCGAAGGTTTGGACTGCTTTTTTTTTTTTTTCAAGAAACATATCCACAGTTTTTGCTGTAATTGTAGTTCACACTGTAGTTAACGCCATTTGAAACACTTTAAACTGGAAGCAAGAACCTACCAATTTAATCAAAGAAAAAGATTTATGGTAATGAAAGTGTATCCTTAATAATATATGTACCGTTGTTCAATAAAATGAATGCTCTTCTACAGGGAGCTGACAGACACTCCCTGGTTCTGTTACTTCTTGCCAAAAGCCATCACCCTACCAGCCACTCTGAGCCTCTGTAACTCACATCAACACCAAATTAGACTGCTCGGCATTCTTTGCAGGGCAGCTTCCTATTGTTAACTTTTACTAGCGTGCTAGTTATTGTTGCCATAGCAACGACTGCACATCTGCGCTATACCTATTATATTCATACGGGATTATTCTGACTGTATGCACTATTTACAGGTAAATTACACTCCTACTCTTAAATGGAAGTGCTGCACTTCATATGTCATATGGTGTTGTGAGTTCTATCTGTTTTTATCTGAAGTGATTAAAGTCCCAGATTAGATTTTTCATGCTCTCTTCCTCTTCTGTTCAGAGGGTACATTTACCACTGAATTAAACCTCAGAGGTTTCTTTTTTTTCCCACTTTAAGCGAGAGCCAAAGGCAGACTCTGGTGTAAACAATCAGGCAGGAAGGCAGACAGAAATCTGTGCTAGGCAGATGTGTTGTGCAGCTCTGGATCTTTTGAACCAGCCAGCAAAACTGAAACCATAACCATGCTGCACTAATAAAAACACATTCCAGTACAGAATGTATGTTCTCCTGACAATGCTTTTTTAACCTCTGCTGGTTGGGAACGATTGAGACAAGATGACTTGTGGTTTAAAGTTTGTACTTTGCACATCACCTCGCTGATTTAGTCTCATGTGTATCCTTCAATCATAATCATAACCAAGATACAACAGTAAACAGCCCATGTGGCTTGAATTCAATTCCCAGACCTGCTGAATTCCTTTGGTCAGGGCGGAAGTGAGTAAGACAGTTATCCTGTCCCCAGCTTTTTGGATCATTCTTTCCTGTAGCCAGGAACTGTGGACAGTTATTATAGTAATTATTTCAAATATATGCATTCACTTCAGCTGCAAGAATTAAATTGTGTGAATGTGGCACTGGGTTCTGCTGGAAAACATCTTACTTGTTCAGTAAAACCTAAAAATAGTTTAAGAAAAGAGAGAGTGAATCATATCTTAAGAGAATCATCCGTCTACTCGGTTCTGTTTTCATAGATGTACGGCCAGGAGAACGTGTCAGTGGAGGGATGTCATGAGAGCTCTGCCATGCACGCAGTGAGTTCAGGAGTTCTCATGGCAGTGTTCAGCCTGGAGACATAATAGGACATAATGAACCCCATATGATTAAAACAAGATCAAGGAGGCAGGGATTACAGCTTGTAATATTTTAAAAATGAGCTTCTTCAAGCAACTTGCTATCAGCAAGTGTGGTTTGTGGAGGACTGAGTTGGCACTGGTTACTTCATCTCATCTCGGTTTCTGTCATATTCAGAGTCAGTTACGCCATAATAGCCTTGATAATCTGTGGTGCTACTATTTTCTTTACAATTTCTCAACTAAACATTTTTATTTATTTTTTTGTTGTTTTAAAGATTAAGAGAGGTACGCACAGGTACTGGGTGGTGACGTGTGATGTCTGTTTTCTGTGCTTTTCCTTGTGATTGACACCAATCTCTCCATTTCCTGTTCTCCCTTTACCCTTCATGTTTTTGCACACGTTGAGGTGATTTACCTGGGTTAGACATTAAAGGAGAGTGCAACGTTTCTTCATGTAGGCACTAATTTTGTTCTCTCACCATTTTAAACAAACCAATCGTGTGAAACGATTTGAGCCTTCCTTTGGTTTTTGTTTGTTGCAGACAGGTCTTAAATCAGACTGGTGAGTGACAAAGAAATGCACCATCTGTGTTTGTTTACCAGACTCAACCAGGCAAAGACAATAGACTGGCCCTCTGAATGGCTTTGGAAAATGTAAAGGAGGACAGAAATTTTGGAATTGTGATGCATTTTCATTAGGTTTAGAGCGTTCCCTCATCATAAAGCTAGCCTTCTTACAACCAGAGTCGATAAGTAATAGATAAATAGTTAAATGAAAGAAAAGTTCCTGTTTTTTTTTTTGCTGTCTATTAAACGTCTATCAAAAAAAGTAAAATAAATAATTAAATAGAAAAGTTTCTGTTAATTAACAAAGCAATCTGAGCAATGAGCCACCAGTTTAGCAAATTAATTATTAAGCCCAAAGAGTTTAAGTCATTTACTACAAAAGCATTTCTTCATCATGTACAAAACACTGAGACATATTGTTTTAACTGCACTCAGTATCTTTATATCAAGATATCATAGGGATTAAACATGTAGTTAAGCTTCTTCACTTTGACAGAAAGGGAAATTTCACTGGTGTGGCCCACATAGGATCAAAGTGGGCTGGATGTGACCCACAATGTAAAATGAGTTTGACATCTCTGCTTTAAGGTTATCTATACAAACTGCTTTTTCTTCTGTTTGTCTGTACTACAGGACACAACAGAGGAGTGTTTAGTTAAGAATTCACAAACTACTCACCTTGTTTTGGCAAGGAAGGAGGGCGATGAACAGCCAAGCTTCCTCTTAATTCCTTAATCACCTGCAGCTTTCTTCTTAAATACCACACGTCCAGGTGACAAATAGCACAGTGAAATGCTCTCGTAACTAGATTACAGAAGAACGAGAGGTGAGAAGAGAACATAAAGCATGAAGTGTTCTGACAGGTAAAGTATAATTAAAAAGGGAAATTGTCAGATTGGTACATAGCTGTGTCCAGTGTTTGGTGGGGGTGGTTAGCAGCTTAAAGTCAAGATTTAGGTTTGTAGGAAGGTTAGGAGGCTGGGTGATTTTCCTTTTTTCTCTTTTGAAGTTTGAAAGGTTAACGCGATCGTGGTGCATGAAGAAAAGCTATGATGACTAGAAAAATGACATTTCCCCAAAAGTCAGCTGATAATAAGTCGCAGTAAAGTGCTAGATAAAAGCTACTCGAGTTCCTGCTCATGCTTGTGAAATAAAGACGTCTGTAGACATTTGTGAATAGAAGCAGTAGCACAGTCAGTGTAATTAATATAATGATTGCACTGACAATTTCACCTCCAACCTCATAGTGTCAAGAATAAAATCTTAACTTTTACTCGTTATTACTTCTTTTTTGAAAATAACATGCATTTAAAAGTAAATTACAGTGTCCATATTTTACAGTACTATTCTGACCAGATGAACACCTTTTTGATCATCTGTTTCCAAACCAGCACACTGTGACTCAAAGCATTTCATTTGCTCTTAGATGTGTCACTGTTGCCTCAAAACAAACGCTGTGTGTTAGGAAACATGCCGTCGCTGCAGAATGCTCTGCTTTGAAAGGCTTCACTTCTTCAGGTCTCTGCTCGGGATGAGTTCCCACTGGCTTGCAGACAGAAGGCAGCAGTTGATGTTAATACCGGGTTTTTTATTAACACTGTGGCAACATGTCTGAACAAACGGATGTAAACAATAGCAGTGTCTTTGATGATTCACCAGTCTGGGCTGGATGTTGATTTCCTCTGTAATAGCACCGATGGGCATTGTCGTTCTTGGCTGGAAGATCCAACATGTTTTAAAAGATTTAGAGGCAAAACCTCAGGATTAAATGACTGTCACGTCTTTATTATAATTAAAAATTAAAAACAAAACGTAAACATAATTGAAAACGAGCAATTATGTGTCTCTTTAATCTTTGTACCAGTCTCTAAGGTATAGAGACAGCTGCTTTTTGTTTTGGAGAAGCTCATCCCAGCATAATTTAATTATAAATCAGAATTTGTGTGTGGTCCCCTTTC